GAGGAGGGAGAGGAGGAGGGAGAGGAGGAGGGAGAGAAAGGAGAGGTTGAAGAGAAGGGGAAAGGCACACTCGAGACTCAGCGACGATGTCCAACGCCTTTGGACCGGACCAGACAGCCACAACCGCGAACCGCGACAAACGCACCTGGGCATCGATGTCGAGCACGGCCCTACGCGCATTCGAGCTGCCGTCGCGGCCCTGGACGCCCTCGGTCGAGACGTCGGCGACGGCCTTGGCCGTGGTGCCGTAGCGGTTCCCGCCAAACTGGGCGTGCTCGAGAAAGGCGCCGGAGCGGACGAGCGACTCGAACTCGTCGGGCGTAACGTAGTGGTACGACTGGCCGCGCACCTCGCCCTCCCTCGGCGCCCTTGTTGTGTCTTCAGAGCGGTACAGCGCGGTGCAGTGTCGGGAAGAGGGGAGGGGGGGAGAGGATGGGTAAGCCAAATGATGACGACGGGCTGGGATGCTAGGACCACTGAGCAGCAAGAGCGAGGGAGAGAGGGAAAGGGGGAGACACTCACGGCTAACGCTGAACCCGAAATCGTGCGGAAACTCCTCGAAGAGCTTCTTGAGCAGCGTGCTCTTTCCGACGCCAGAGGGTCCACTGAGCACAATGGGCCGCTTGTCGCTCGCAATCACTGGCGTCGAGGCGGCAGCGCCAGCTGCACCAGCTGCAGTGGAGGAAGACGACATTCTGGCCGTGGAAGTCGAAAGTCGATATGCGACGGCGGTGCGAGGGATGGTGCTGCTTATGATGGGGCGACAGAGATGACGGAGCATGAAGTCCTGGCTCCCCCCGCCTTGCTGTCTATCGATGGTGGTGGTGGTGGTGGTGACGGTGGTGGGTGATGGCAGCGACTGCAGGCAAACGAGATAGAGCTCGGTTTTGGCCTCGTCTTTTTCGATGGATTTTCGGACTCTGCGCCGCGCTGAAGCGAGGCCTGACCCGCGCCCGCCTGCTTCCAAACGCGGGGATGGGGCCGGCACAGACACACGAACGAGAGGGTCCAGCCCGCACTGCGCTCGACGGCAGGCGCCTCAAACGACGACGACGGCGGTGGTGGTGGTGACGATGACGATGAGAAGCGGTGGTGTTGCCTGGGATTGCACGAAACTCGCCCGCCGTCAGGCTAGAGTCTAATCGTCACCACTGGGGAGCCAGTCGGTCCAGCTACCAAACAGACCCCCTCCCCCTCCGCCATCGCCGCCGTCGCCGTCTCCAAACTCGGTATCGTCGGCGCCAGCCCAGGGATCCGACGATCCGGTCCCCCACACATCTCCTCCCCCATCACTGCCGTCGCCGACGCCGCCCTGCTGCTGCTGTTGCTGCGCAGCTTCCCACCACGGAACGTCCTGTCCCGTCGATGGCGGCGACGGCGGCGCGTCACCGTACGACTCTGGCGGCGTCTGGCGAGGCAGCGTGTCGGAGCCGCTGCCGCTCTGCGATGGGTCGTAAGGATAGTCGGTCTGGCCCATCGACCCACCCATGCCCATGCCCGAGCCGAGGCCGAAGCCGCCATCGTCTTGCTGCTGCGGCGGCGGTGCAGTTGGCGGCTGGCCGCCCGTTGCTCCACCCGCCCCCGCCTCTCCCGCCTCGGCGCCGCCGCCGCCCATGTAGAACCAGGGAAACATGCCGCCGCCGCCCGAGGCGTGGCTCGAGTGGCGCGAAAAGTAGTCAAAGTCGATCGACACGGCCGTCGCCAGCGCCACGGCGCGCTCGTCGAGCGTCAGCGGCCGCGTTCCCTGGCTCTCGACCAGCGCCGTACCGCTCGACTCGGACTCGGACGCCGGCCCAGGCTGCCCGGGCTGCGACGCCGCGATCCTCGGGTCCGTCATGTCCGTCTGCCCCACCGAGTCGAAGCGCACGACGTAGGCGCCCGTGTCGGTGAAAATCTCGCGCGCGAAGCCGCGAAAGTTGCGGTCGATGGCGCCCACGAGCCGCTCGTCGGCGTCCTGCATCAGGAAGCTCCAGCTCCACAGGCCGGCGTCGATCTGGGCAAACTGCTCAAAGTGGTCGTCGCCGTCGCCGCCGCTGCTGCGGACCGCCGCGTCGTCGCCATCGTCGGACGGCGGGCGGCGCAGGAAGAGCTCGTACCGACGGCGGTAGACGTGCCAGCGCTGCTGGACCTCTCCGATGAGGGCGAGGTCGTCGTCGCCGGGCGGGCCAGAGCCGATGGGGTAGTCTGGGCGCACGGCGTAGACGCTGGTCTTGGAGTTGATGTAGGTGAGCGGGCGCTTGATCATGAGGACGGGGCGGCCCTCTGCGTTCATGACCGTGGCGCGAAAGGGGCGGTGGGTGCGGAGCAGCTGGCGCTTCATGGCGCCGCCGAGGAAGCCCGTCTCCTCTTCGGTGAGGAAGCCGACCTGCTCGCCGGTGGGCGAGACAATCGAGTAGCGGTTGGCCTGCTCGTAGCCGAGGAAGATGTTCATCATCTCAATCTCGCGCGTGACGACGAGCGCCGACTGGCCAAGCAGGCGGGAGGCGCCTTCAAAGTTGGGATCGTCGGGCTGCAGGACGTCCCTTGGCTCGCGGGGGATGACGGCCTCGGTGTACACGGCCGGGTCCACGGGGACGGGCGCCGTCTCAGCGCCGGTGGCGGGGTCCTTCTGCCGTGGCTCGGTGTCGATCGTGGAGCGCTGGTCCGGGTCGACGGGGTCGGGATGCTGTTGTGAGGACCCGGGACCGGGTGGTGCCGCCGGGCGTTGCCCGGGCAGGTGTGATCGGCCGTGTCGGAGGAAGCGCCCGCCGCCGGACGAGTGGCGCGCCACATAGCCCCTGCGCTGGCCAGTTGAAGCGGAGGCGGTGCTGCTGCTGCTGATATCATGTGGGAAGAAGGTGGATGCGGGTGGCGCGGAGGACATGGGCGTCGAGGTGGCGAGGAGGCTAGTTTGGACCCGCCCATTGCGGCCGAGCTGGCGGCGCAGGAGTCGGGGCGCCTGCCGACTGAGCGAGCCAGTGATTGCTGTCATTGTCGCTCGCAGTAGAGGGGATGCCCAAGGCCAGGCATATATGAAATCGGGAGGGGAGCGAGGGCAGGGCGGTGGTGGTGGTGGTGGTGGTGGTGAAGAGGAAAGCAGCGGCGCCCAACGGTGGCTTCCACGCCAGCCTACATGTGGAGGAATGGGGGAGCCGTGACGCGTCCGTCGGCGGTAGTTGAGCGCAGCATCTTGGCCCCCCTCCTCTCGCCGCAAAGCCCTCCCAGGCGACTCGGTACTGTCCGACTCGGAGGGATGCTCCGGACCAGCGATGCAGTTGCAAGGCGCTCAAACACGACCACCTCGACAGCTTTGGCTGATCCGGGAACGGACCGCGGACAGCAGCGAGGCAGGCGGGAAACGAGACGGTGGCGGCCACTGGGCCCCGCGCGCGCCTTCCTTCTCGCCGGAATGGCCAGGAATCACAGACAGACGGGCGCAGCAGCGGCATGGCAAGAACGGCAGCAGCAGCCTGCGGCCCGACCTGGTGGCACTCGCAGTCCGCTCATGCACGAGTTCCTGGAGACGCAGCATCAAGCAGCCTCTGCGCGGTGTCGTTCGCTACCGCTCAGCCATGAGCGGATCAGCGGTGCGCGCCTTCGTAGGGTCAAGAGAAAGAGGGAGCCCTGTCGTCATGCGGGTGAGCACCACGGAGAGCAGCAGGCGACGGTCGGAAGCAGTCGGGTCGCTCGCGAGGATGCGCCGCGGTAGGGCGACATGCTCAGGGCCGAGAGAGGTGGTGCTAAGATTCGATGGCCAAGGGGCGAGGAATCGACGACGATGCATCGGCTGGGACAGGAAAGGGAGCCTGGCATCAGACCTTGTGGCCGTTTGCGGTGCCGTTTGCCTGGGGCTGGTCGGCGGCGGTGGCGGGGGCGCGCACCTCTGCAAGGTCGGAAAAGTCGTCCTGCTTGACCTGTGGGAGGCGAAGAGGCGGCAAAGAGGCGCGGATCGGTGCGAAGTGGAAGGAGATGAGTCAAGGGGTCAGCGAAGGATGGAAGAAACCGCGTCGACGAGGCCGGCAGACTGACCTTTGAGATCGAGTAGAGGTACACGCCGACTGCGAAGCCCATGATGAGGCTTCCGGTGACGATGTTCTTTACGAGGTATGGCCTGCGAGCGCGCTTGAGGCCCTCGGATACGCCGTAGCCCTTTGGGTGGTAGGTTGCGTGGGTGGAGCGAGGGGGTACGGTGGAGCGGGTGGCGTTCGAGGTAGGAGGCGGCGCCGACGACGACGACGACGACGAGGCGAAGCGCAGCTGCGAGGGGGATGCCCGTGCGGGCGTCGAAGGTGCCGCGAGCGTGGAGCGGAGGGTGTGTGCAATCATTGTTGGGTCGTGTGATTTGAGGAGGTGGTGGGCGAGGAGCAACAGAGGAAGAGAGAGAGAGAGAGAGAGAAAGGAAGAAGGCGGCGATTACCCTCCAGCCTGGCCCACAGAGAGAGGTGGAGGAAGGATGGCGGAACCCAAGGCTGCCCGCGCTGCTCTGCCCCGATGGCCCATCGGGTCTCCTTGGCGAGTGTGCACTGCATCGGGTGGATCGTCTGCGGAATTCGGAAGTGGGCTCCGGTAGGTCGCCCGCGACGCCACGCGCCGGTGGGGCCTCGAGCCAGCGATGAGGCCCAAGAGAGCCCAGGGTGCAGGCCTCCAAGCTGCAGCGGACACGGCGGCCCAGCGCTCGGGGCATCCAACAGCGCAGCTTTGTTGGCACTCGCCGCCTCCGCCCCCTCACCCAACACCCACCACCCACCACCCACCACCCACCATACCACTTCATCTCATCAAGGGCGGCCGGCGCACCCTCACCTCCATATCCTGCGCGCGAGCACGCCGCTTTATGCTCGCAGCACTACCGCCACCACCACTGCAGTCGCTGGCTCGCCTGCTGCAACAGCCACCGCCCAGATTGACGCTCCCGCCTCATCCATAGACGCCGCCCTCTCGCACATGCCAGCACCGCCCTCATCCTCGTCCGCCTCTTGTCCGAGAAGCTGCGACGACGAAAACGACGACAGCAGCAGCAGCAGCAGCATAGCCACCCAGCAGCACTGGTAGCATCCTGTCTGCTGCCTCCCTGCCGCCCGCCGCCCGCCGCCATGCCCGGCCTCCCGACCAAGCCCAACAACATCCCCCTCGCCTCGTCCCTGCCCAAGGTCTCGTTCCGCCGCATCCCCGCACAAGAGGCAATCGCGCTCGCCGCCCCCGCCGGCGTCGTCGACCAGCAGAATGTCGACTTTGGCTTCAACGACGGCAGCCCCTTTGAGCGTCCAGAGCACTACCTCCGCTACGTCGAACCCATCGAGACCGAGCTCAAACACCAGGTCGAGTACGACATGGACGAGCAGGACCAGGAGTGGCTCGACGCGCTCAACGCAGACCGAAAGAGGGACCAGCTCGACGCCGTATCCAACGAGGTCTTTGAAATCATCATCGACCAGCTCGAAAAGGAGTGGTTCGACCTCATGAAGCAGGTCCCCACAAAGCCACCCCACGGCGCACAGGACGACCCGGGCGCAGACGACGACGACGGCGAGGACACAAAGTGCGCAATCTGCGACGATGGCGAGGGCGAAAACTCCAACGCCATCGTCTTTTGCGACGGCTGCAACCTCGCCGTGCACCAAGGTGAGCGGCCACCCAACGGCGCCGCACGCCCACCGACCCTCGGGCTGACGTTGCTGATGCTGCTGCTGCGCCTCTCCTCTTTCCCCCTTCCTTCCCCCCTGCCTTCGGCTCCCCCTCCCTTTGTCTGGCAGACTGCTACGGCATCCCCTACGTGCCCGAGGGCCAGTGGCTGTGCCGCAAGTGCACCGTCTCGCCGGACCGCGCCGTGTCGTGCATCCTCTGCCCGCACGAGGGCGGCGCGTTTAAGCAGACGACCCAGGGCAAGTGGGCCCACCTCCTCTGCGCCATGTGGATCCCAGAGACGGGCGTCAGCAACCCCGTCTACATGGAGCCCATCGACAGCGTCGAAAAGATCCCAAAGGCGCGCTGGCGCCTCCAGTGCTACCTCTGCCGCTGCAAGATGGGCGCCTGCATCCAGTGCGACAACAAGGTCTGCTACGCCGCCTTCCACGTCACCTGCGCCACGAAGGCCGGCCTCCTCATCCAGACCGAGCGCAAGCGCACCAGCCACCACGGCGGTGGCGGCGGCGGTAATGGCGGCGGCGGCGACAGCGGCGACGACGACTCGGACAGCGACGCCGCCCCCATCCTCCGCGCCCGCTGCCACAAGCACGTCCCGCCCAAGCTGCGCTCCCAGCTCAAGATCTCGTTTGACCGCGCCAACGCCATATCGGCCTACGACGACGACCTCGACGGCCCCGCCGTGCGCGGCTCGCCCTTTGGCCACTCGTCGCAGCGCACGCGCGAGCAGTCGCTCGACTCTTCGTCGGCGGCGCCGCTGATCCCCGTCAGCCGCTCCGGCTCGGTGCTGGCCGACCACGACGGCCAGGGCAGCAAGTCGGCGCGCGCCTACAAGAGGAGCTACCGCGCCGGTCCGCCGCTGGTGCCGGCCTACATCGTCAACCGCGTGCTCGACTACATCGGCCGCATCGCGCTGCGCAAAAAGCCGCCGCTGGTGGCCCAGATTGCGCGCTTCTGGTCGCTCAAGCGCGAGGCGAGGCGCGGCGCGCCCCTCCTCAAGCGCCTCCACCTCGAGCCCTGGACGGCGTCGTCGCACACAAAGGAGCAGACCGACGCGCAAAAGGTCAAGAAGCTCGCCTTTCTCAACACGCTGCGCAACGACCTCGAGGCGGTGCGCATGCTCGCCGAGCTGGTGCGCAAGCGTGAGCGCGAAAAGCTGCGCCAGGCCAGGCTGCTCCGCGACGCCCTCGTCAACGCCACCCTCTTCCCCTACTACGACGTGCTGGCGTCGGCGCTGGCCAAGGTCGAGGCGCTCGACCGCGCCCACTTCTTCGCCGCCCCCGTGTCGCGCACCGAGGTGCCCGATTACTACGACATCATCAGGGAGCCCATGGACTGGTCGACGATGCGCGACCGGCTCCACGAAAAGGCGTACGCCTCGGTGCAGCAGTTCAGGGACGACGTCGGCCGCGTCCTCGCCAACGCCATGACCTACAACAAGGCCGACACGCCGTTCCACAAGGCGGCGTCGCGCATCCAGCGGCAGCTGCCCCACGCCTTCCGCGACCTCGAGCACATCGAGCAGCTGCACCAGGCGTCGTTCCAGGCCGCCTGCCGCAAGCTGCGCCCGAAGCGCGGCGACCCTGCCGATGCGGACCGCGACGTCGTGCTCGACGACGACACTCGCGACGCCCTGCAGCAGCTGAGGCTCGAGCCGCCCATCGACCACGTCATGCTTCTGCGCGATTACGCCGGCATGGCATCGAGGGAGCTCCACGAGGTGCGCGGGCCCGAGGACAAGGTGTCGGCCTTCTTCTCGGGCGTGCTGCAGGACGCCGCGGCGGGACCAGGCGCGGCGGTGGCGGCGGCGGC